CAGGTGTGTGCGGGGCTGGGGAGTGCGCACGCTGCAGCGCATCCGCAAGAACTCCTTCGTCATGGAGTACGTGGGGGAGGTGAGTACAGGTGTGACAGGTGTGTACAGGTGTGATACAGGTGTGTGCAGGTGTGATACAGGTGTGTGCAGTACAGGTGTGGGGTGGTTTAGGTGTGGTCCAGGTATGATAGGGTTCAGGTGTGAGAGCTGTGACACAGGTGCTCCAGGTGTCCAGCTGTGCCAGGTGTGCCCCAGGTGTGCCCAAGTGTGAGAGGCGTGACAGGGTTCAGGTGTGCCCAGGTGTGCGAGGTGTGCCAGGTGTGCCCAGGTGTGCCCAGGTGTGCCCAGGTGTGCCCCTGTCACAGATCATCACCTCGGAGGAGGCGGAGCGCCGGGGCCAGGTGTACGACCGCCAGGGCGCCACGTACCTGTTCGACCTGGACTACGTGGAGGACGTTTACACCGTGGACGCCGCCCACTACGGGAACATCTCACACTTCGTCAACCACAGCGTGAGTGGGGTCACCTGGGCAGGTGTGGGGTCACCTGGGCACAGGGGTGGGGTTACATGGGCACAGGTGTGGGGTCACCTGGGCATGGGTGGGGTCACCTGGGTACAGGTGTAGGGTTACATGGGCACAGGTGTGGGGTCACCTGAGCATGGAGAGGTCACTTGGGCATGGGTGGGGTCACCTGGGTACAGGTGTGGGGTTACATGGGCACAGGTGTGGGGTCACCTGGGTACAGGTGTGGGGTCACCCGGGCATGGAGGGGTCACCTGGGTACAGGTGTGGCGTTACCTGGGCACAGGGTGGGTGTGGCTGTACCTCCCTTGTGGGCGGAACTTCAGGCACCTTTTCCCTCAGGTGTGGGCGGGGCTCCTTTGCCAGGTGTGTCTCACCTGTTGGGATGGGTCAGAGGCTGTGGGCGTGGCTTCATGGGGGCGTGGCTTTATGGTGGGTGTGGCCCCATGGGGCGTGGCTCCGTGTGGGCGTGGCCCAGGTGGGCGTGTCTCCCCTGCGGGGGCGGGGCAGTGA